TTCATGCATTTCCTCCAGCGCACGTTACACAATTGTGTTCGCCTTACTGAGGGCTTCGATTTGGTACCCTAAAATAACAAAAACATTTTTGACCATGATATAAGCGCCGGCGCTTATGGCCGTGACTCAATTACAAGCGCCCCCCCCTAAAAAACCCGGTTTTATTATAAGCGCAGATGCGCCTATATCCGGGGTGATACGGTATTATCGAACCAATGCAAGAAATATAGCAAGAACTTTTTTTTATATAAATTTCTCAGCACTATTCAATAACAACGTACACAGGAAAATGATCAGAAAAATATGTTTCTCCAATGTATACTTTAAGTTGTGTTTTGAAACAATTAGCCCATACATGATCAATAAGTGTCAGAATAACTGAGCAGGAATGAATGAACTAGAACAGAGTTTGGTACAAGTAGGAAACCCTAACTTTGTGTACCCCCTAAGGTGTAACCCACTACAGCCTACACAATATAAACATACAATGTTTGACACACCCCCATAGGCGCAGTGGGAGACAACCACAGGGTCACAAGACCAGTCAAAGCAAAGCAAAGCAAGCTCAGGGTGGATCTCAAGGATTCCACACAAATTCCGAGCACAAGCAAGCGGTCACAAGACCAGTTCACATGCAGGTTTATAACAAAGCAAGAGATACAGTGATCACAACCTAGCAAACGTAAACAAGTAGGCATATATATATAGTGATCACAGTACAAGCAAGGTCAAGAGGTAAGCAAGTGAGGCCCAGTAGGTACAAGGCCTAGCAGAGTGCAAAAGCGCTGATGGTCACAAGGCTGAAGCGCCTTGGTGAACACATCAGCAGTGTTGGCCTCCGTGGCCACGTAACGCAGACAAAGCTGACCACGCTGCTGCAGCTCTCGAGCAAGGAAGTACCGCAGAGCGATGTGCTTCGTTCTGTGCTCCAGTCTGTGCTCCTCACACAAGGCAATGGCAGCCTTGTTGTCGACGTACAGCACTGGAGGAGAACGAGGCCGCTCTCCGAGGTCGGTCAGCAGGTAGGTCAGCCAGCGTAGCTCCTGAGCAGCCATGGCTGTGGCGTAGATCTCAGCCTCACAACTGGAGCTGAGAACAGAAGAAGAGCGAGTAGAACGCCAAGAAACTGAGCCAGAGCCAAGGCTGAAGGTGTAACCCTGGGACGACCGCTGAGTAGCCTGGTCGTCTGCCCAAGAAGCGTCTGAGTGCCCTGTGAGAACAACCCGGTCTCGCCCTCCAAGCACAAGCCCCATGCCCGACGTACTGCACAAGTAGCGCAACACCCTCTTAGCAGCATCCATGTGCTCCTTCCGGTGACGGCCAGGAGCGACATAGCGTGCTAGGATGCTAAGAGGGTATGCAAGGTCAGGTTGAGTGCAGGTCATCAGGTACATGAGGCAGCCCACAAGCTCTGGATACGGGCCACTCGGCTCTACGGACTCATCCGAAGGCAGAGCTGAGAGCGAGTGACCGGTAGGCAGAGGAGTGGACTGAGGCGAGGAGTACGTGAAGCGGAAGCGCTGGAGAACCTGCTGCACCATGTGTGACTGAGTCAGGGTGATGGTGCGCCGTGCTCTGTCCCGGGTGATCCGCAAGCCAAGATAGCTCGTCAGCTCACCCAGGTCTGTGCACGTGTGTCTCCTCTGCAGCTCCGACTTCACGTGGGCGAGTGCCGCGGTGTCAGCAGTGGCAAAGACCAAGTCGTCGACGTACACGAGGATGTAGAACGGCGGCAGCGAGGTGTCGGTGCGTAGAAACAGCGACGGGTCAGCAGTAGAGGGAGCGAACCCAAGAGCCGCAAGTGTCGTCCTCAGTGTGTCGTGCCACTCACGTGGCGCCTGGCGGAGACCGTAGACCGGCCGCTGAAGCCTCCACTGGGTGCCAGGAGGAACTGACCCAGTGAAGCCAGGGGGGCGGCGCAGCCAGATCTCCTCGTGCAGGCTGCCCTGCAAGAAAGCAGTGCTGAAGTCAAGAGAGTGAAGCTCGTAGTCGCGGTGAGCGGCTATGTGCAGCAGCACCCGAAGAGTAGTCATCTTCGGGGTGGGGGAGAAGGTCTGAAAGAAGTCTACTCCCTCTCGCTGACTGAAGCCTCGAGCCACGTAGCGCGCCTTGAAGACAGGCGGAGAACCCGGCGGCCGCTTCACCCTGAAAATCCACATGCCACTGACGATGTTCGCCCCAGGAGGGGGAACCTCGTCTACGTAGGTGCCTGTGGACTTCCAGGAAGCCATCTCTGCGTCCATGGCTGTCTGCCACTGAGAGGAGTAGGGACCCGCCATCGCCTCAGCGTAAGAGCGTGGGGTCGGGATGTCTGGTGCATCCGGGTCTCCCTCAGGGGCAACTAGCAAGGACACGAGACGGGGCAAAGCAGCAGCAAGGCAGAGGAACTCCTCCTGTCTGTCCTCAAGGACGTCCGTGCCGAGGGCACACTCACCCCCGACGGACGGAGGACAGGCAGACGCAGACTCAGACTCAGCGACAAGGCTGGCAGCGTAGTCTAGGCGACAGCGAGCAGCAAAGTCAACCAACTCAGCGACCAGAGCAGACGCAGCAGAGGACTCAAAGGTCGGGTCAGTGACAACTGTAGCGAGGAGACGCGTAACAGTGGGACTGGCAGCACGACGGGAGTCAGACTCCGGGTCAGGAAGAGTAGGAAGAGAGGACGCAGGAGGAGACGGCAGCGGGACACGCTGCGGAGCAGTGGAGGGACGCAGAGTCATGTAGTGAGTGCCAGGGACAGGAGGAGGACGCTCACGTGGGACACGATGACCAGTGCGAGCAGTACGAACAGGCGACGCAGGACGAGACTCAGGCTCACGACGCTCTGTAAGACCTCCTGTGGGACCAGCGTAAGGAGAGGGAGCAGGGAGAGGCGAGTCAGGCGGTAACTGTGACTGCGGCTGGACAGGCAGAGGACACTCGACGGAGGGAGGAGGACTAGGAGGAGGAGCCTGACCAAGAACCTGCTGAAGGAGCGGTACAAAGTACGGTCGCGGCCGCGCAGCGTCTCCAGAAGCAGCAGGGACACCAGTGGCAGCCCCAACGCCCGAGTCCTCAGCACCAGCAGCAGCTCCAACGCCCGGGTCCTCAGCACCAGCAGCAGCGCCACCGGTCGGGTCCTCAGCACCAGCAGCAGCTCCAACGCCCGGGTCCTCAGCACCAGCAGCAGGGCCACCGGTCAGGTCCTCAGCACCAGCAGCAGCGCCACCGGTCGGGTCCTCAGCACCAGCAGCAGCTCCAACGCCCGGGTCCTCAGCACCAGCAGCAGCTCCAGCCCCCGGGTCCTCAGCACCAGCAGCAGCTCCAGTGTCCGGGTCCTCAGCACCAGCAACAGCACCACCGCTCGGGTCCGCAGCACCAGGAGCACCACTACGAAGACTGCAGCGCCGCGTGTACCACTCGCGGATCACCTGAATGGGGGGGAGCTCCTGGGTAGGAGGGGAAGTACCGGGACGAGCTCCAGAAGCACCTCTCCGGAGGCGGCAGTACTCGAGGTACCTCTCCTGCAGCTGCTGGGAGGAGAGGGCTCCTCCAGGTGGAGCACGCTCAGGCTCAACACCCCCAGACTCAGCACCCCCAGACTCAGTACCTCCAGGCTCCGCACCTCCAGGCTCCGCACCTCCAGGCTCCGCACCTCCAGGCTCCGCACCTCCAGGCTCCGCACCTCCAGGCTCAGCACCCCCAGGCTCCGCACCTCCAGGCTCAGCACCCCCAGGCTCCGCACCCTCAGACGCAGCACTCCCAGGCTCAGCACCCCCAGACGCAGGACGCGAGTCAACAGCTACCTCGACAGGCTCACCCGGGTCTACCTGGGACACACCTGAGGGAGCGGCACCCTGAGGGGGGAGGGGGTCTGGTACCTCAGCACCTGGAGCGAGGAAGAGAGGCGGGGGGGGGGAGCAGGGCAGTGCGGTAGGGGAAGAGGCGGTAGAAGGGGACGGACTCGTCAAAAGTGACGTCCTGAGAGGCCAGAACCCGGCGCGAGGTGACGTGGTAAAACTGCCATCCAGGCGCGTCGGGAACAAAGCCAAGAAAGACACAGGGAACAGCGCGACGCGAGAGCTTGTCCGCGGACGTGTCGCGGACAAAAGCTCGAGATCCCCAGACCCGGAAACGCGACGCATCGCCAACCTCTCCCGTCCACCGTAGAGTCGGGGAAGTCTCCGGCAAGGAGACACGGGGCCAGAGGTTGAGCTGATGCGCAGCGTACCGGACTGCAAACGGCCACAGAAAGTGGGGAGCAGCCGCATGGGTCAGGGAGGTACGAGCGACCTCCATGACCAAGCCAATGCGGCGCTCAGCGACCCCATTCTGCTGTGGAGAGGCCGGAAGCGTGAACGACTGCTCAATGCCGTGCTCAGCACAGTAGGCTGCCAAGAGGTCGGAGGCGAACTCACCACCTCTGTCAGAGTGCAAGCGCAGGACAGGAAAGTCCGAGTGAAAGCGCTTGCCTAGCTGGAGACGGGCTCGGCTGATCCAGGGGATCAAAACACCAGGGACGTCACCCTTGGAGCGCAAGGGGAAGACCGTGGTGTAGCGCGAGTAGTCGTCAACAACTATCAGGAAGTACCTCTCCTGACCCTGACCACGGACGCGGGCTGGGCCCCACACGTCCATGTGGAGCGTCTGCAAGGGAGCAGTCGTCGGGGGAAAGGAGGAGGAGTGAGGAGCGGCGCGCTGCCGCCCCTCGACACAGGGAATGCAGTCAGGAGCAGGGGAGTCGGGAAGGGGAGGGAGCACCCTGGGAAGACCAGCAACAAGGTCCCGTTTGTGCATGGCCCGAAGGCGCTGCACAGACGGGTGACCAAGGCGGTGGTGCCAGAGGACAGTCTCATGCGCCAGAGAGCGACATGAGCAGGGGGCGGACAGCTGACCTGACGCAGACGCAGACGCAGACGCAGCTACCTGAGGGGACTCAGTGGTCAGTGTGTACAGGTCCGACCCCGGCTCCCGAGTGAAAGTAGCCAGGTGGCGGCCCGTCCGAGCACACGTGCAGTGTGTCACGCACTCGTAGGCAGGGGTGAACTGGTGAACACCCCCGTCCTGCAGAGCACAGCCCGCCACCAAGTTCGTAGAGAACGAGGGGAGGTAGAGACCTGAGAGCGTGCCGGACGGAACCGCTGGACACGGAAGTGTAGTGGAGGAGGTCGCAATGACCGGACCCCTAGAGGGGTCAGCAAGAGAGACAGCAACCGGCCGAGCTAGTGGCTCAAGGACAGTGCGGTCACGAAAGAAAGAGCGAGAAGCACCTGAGTCCAGTGTGAAGGTGTGCAGTGCAGCAGTCGACTCAGTACCAGGGGGCACAGACGCACTAGCACCTAGGGCAGCTGCTGCAGCAGGACCTGTGGGAGCAGACACACTAGCACCTAGAGCAGCAGCTGGGCTGGCCTGAATGCCCGGGTCGGGCGGAACACGCAAGTACTGAGCACCCTCTCCACTAATAGACATTGCATACATGGCAGTGAGAATAGCATCAAAGTCTAGAGCCCAGATATCAACACCCCTCTTTTCCAGATCAGCCCAGCGCGGCAGCTCAGTGGCGTCAGGAAACTGGGTGCGCCACGCGTCGTTGAGGCGCGCGAAGCAGCGCTGCGTCTGGTGCGGCCTCCCACACGTCTGGCCAGTGCGGTCGCCTGTGCGAATAACATACGTGCAGGTAAAACCGCGCTGCGCATACCACTCACGGGCAGCCTGAAGCGTCGGGGAAGGCTGCTGACTCTGGCCTCCGCCCGTGCCTCCACGACCACCACCTCCTCCGCCTCCGCCCCGGCCACCTCCACCCCTGCCGCTGCCACGACCACCTCCGCCTCCGCCGCCGCCTCCGCCCCTGCCACCACTCCCACCGCTGCTGTCACCTCCCCCACTACCGCCACTAGCCTCCCCAGTCGCGCCTCCACCGCCACCACCTCCACCCCCGCCTCCTCCGCCGCCACCCCCACCCCTGCCCCCCTTGCTCCTGCGGCGCCCGCCCGAAGCAGACGCAGTCCCGACCTTCTCAGCACCAAGGAGGTCGACAGCAGCAGCAGAGGCGACAGAGGGGAGGAGGGGGGAAGGGGAACACCCCTCAAAGAAGGGGCCGCGAGGGTCGCCACGAGAGGTGCCTACAGCGACGATACTGGCCTCAGCTGCAAGCAGTTCCTTCTCGAGGAGGGCTACGGTGAGCTCGGTGGGGGAGCGAGAGAGGAAGTGGTCCCTGACTGCGCGGAGAGAGTCAGGGAGGCGAGTGACGATGTGGTAGAGAGTGATCCAGAGCGGGGGGGGGTTGCTAGCGAGGAACTCGTCAGGCATGGCAGCGCGAAAGCGGGCCTCACTAGTCTTAAGGTGGGTGATGAGGTCTGCGACAGTGTGAAAGGAGGCCAGGTCGGGGAACAGGTAGGGGAGAGTGAGGCGGCCTAGCGTGGCAGAAGCAGGTGAGGAGTAGCGGGCAACGACAGCGGTGTACAGTTCCTTAGCAGTCTTGCACTGGCCGAAGTGCTCGCGCTCATCTAGCGGCAGGGAGTTGCGTATGGCGAAGCGAGCGTGCGCGTCACGGGTCTGCCACTGTGAGCGCTCAGTGGGGGGAGCAGTAGTAAGAGGGGCAGTAGCGTGGCCGAGAGCATGGTCGTACAGAGAAATATCCTCCTTGGCCGTGAGCTGTAGGAACAGGTGTAGGTCATCTAGCCAGGTTTCGAACTTCACCGGACGGCCCTCGGCGTCGAAAGCTAGAACGGGAGGGCTAGCCATAGCGATAGTAGCAGTAGTAGCAGTCTGCAGTAAACAAAGTAGGGCCGCAGTAGCTGTAAAGACGCACTAGCAGGAGTCGCAGGGGCGCACGGGATGCGGTGGTAGGCCGGCAGTAGCGGCGTGCGGTGGCGGCTGCAGGTGCGGACAGTCAGTAGCGGCGGGCCGGCAGCGAGCGCGTGCGGTGGCGGCTGCGGGTGCGCACGGGCGGCAGCGGCGGGCCGGCAGGCGAGGGCGTGCGGCGGCAGCTGCGGGTGCTCACGGGCGGCAGCGGCGGGCCGGTAGCGGGTGCGTGCGGCGGCGGCTGCGGGTGCGTACGGGCGGCAGCGGCGGGCCGGCAGCGGGTGCGTGCGGCGGCGGCTGCGGGTGCGCACTAGCGGCAGCAGCGGGCCGGCAGCAGGCTGCTTGCGGGCCGCGCAAGCAGCGCGCGGGCCGGCAGCGGGTAGCGGGCGGTTCGCGGGCGGCGTGCAGGCCGCGCGGGCGGTTCGCGGGCGGTTCGCGGGCGGTTCGCGGGCGGCGCGCAGGCCGCGCGGGCGGTTCGCGGGCGGTTCGCGGGCGGTTCGCGGGCGGTTCGCAGGCGGCGCGCAGGCCGCGCGGGCGGTTCGCGGGCGGTGCGCGGGCGGTTCGCTAGAGGGCCAACGGGGCCGGTAGGTGCGATCGCAATCGACGGGGCCAACGGGGCCGGGAAAAAAAAAGGTAACGCTCGCGAGGGCGCTACGGGGGAGACGCTAAGAACGCGCTCCGGTAAGTAGGTAGGTAGGTAGGTATCGTACGGTGGGCCCTGAGAACAGTCCTAGCGAAGGACCTGCTCTGAAACCATGTCAGAATAACTGAGCAGGAATGAATGAACTAGAACAGAGTTTGGTACAAGTAGGAAACCCTAACTTTGTGTACCCCCTAAGGTGTAACCCACTACAGCCTACACAATAGAAACATACAATGTTTGACAATAAGGGTACCATTTACTATAGTAGGATCAGCAATGAATTGCGTAAAGCCATGTTGCATGGAAAAACGGCGATATCTTGGTTGCGCATTAGCTATCAGATCAACATTGAAATCGCCTGAAAACATCATAAAATCTTAGTAATGATAAATGAAATTGCATCAAAGAGTATGTTGTGGTTACGATGGTTAGTTGGATTACGATAACAACACGTAACAACAACGGGATCATCTTCTATCATAACGGTAAAAGTCAACAATTCAACTTTTGACTTTTCATCATAATGTACCATGTGGACTGGAACATAATGATATTATACGACCCCACCAGATCTGCAATCGTAACGAATAATCTTGAATCGATCATCCATTTGGGTTGGAATATCATCATGTTCGCCCAAATGGGTCTCGAATAGAACTACAAAATCAAATCCTTTAAGACTACTGATATTTATATCTTTAAAATGACCTCGAAGACTTCTTACATTCTAGAACGCGAATTTCAAAATAAACGCTTGTTTTATGATCAAGCAAACTGGTATTGGATTTAGAATAAGAGGTTTCTCTCTTAGACGACGCATTTCTGCTACCACTCGAGAGTCTGTTTTTATGCATGCTTCTGAAAAGTTTCGAAGAAATAATCGATTATGAGATTTGAATCTACTTAAAGCAACTTATGAACCTTGAGGAAAAACTTTATACTCAAAATGCACAACCCCACTCTCAAACGTAGCACCTTGGCTTCGATGAAAACTTATCGCATTGCTTGGTCGCAATGGAAATTGCATTCGAGAAATTGAATCGTATCGAGAGTTTACTGAAAATGTTTTGTCTATTCGTTGTATAGGCGTCCAAGTTTGTTTGACTCCCACAGTATTAAAGATTAATGATTTGGATTTGTCGCGCAAAATTTTGCCAACTTGTTCATCGTCAAACTCGACCCAAACAATTTCCACCGCATTTTGTTCATTCACTGTGAAATGAGCCACAACGCCAGGTGTGCCATTGGCAAGTCCATCTGACGTATCCAGATTACAAACCATGTGAACGCGAGAGCTGATAAAAAGCTCTAGAATCGAAAATAGCCCATGTGATGACGTCGTTGCGAACCCATCAGGCGTGATCGGTTTGTTCTTCCTAGATTGCATATTTCTCCTCTGACGAGGAGCAAAAAAGATCGTGGTTAAATGAATCGGTTGCTTTATTAGTGCAACACAAATGTTGCAAACTTAAACCTGCTGAAGGAGTATCAATTTGTCGATCGCGTAAAAATTCTATGTCCATCCGAGTCTGAATGCCTTCACGCAAACGATTCAACAGTTCGGCAAATTTAACTTCTTCGCGCTGTCGCATGATTGTTGTAAGTTCTACAAGTTGTACGGGCCTCCAAATATGTACATAATCGCACATAGATGATGTGCTTGAATCATTGCCAAAACAATGAGTATCGCGCACTGGGGTTAATTGAAAAAAGTCCCCAACAAAAATCATGTGCAGACCACCGAACGGAATGTTAGCATTATTTGTAAGTTCGCGGAGCCTAAAATCTATCCATTGAAATGTATTTTTTCCAACAATTGATATCTCGTCGACAATTACAAGTTTAACATCTCCTAATCGGGATCTTAAAGAATTCAACCTATCGGAAGATAGCTTCTTGATGCGGCGGTTTTGCACAACTGGAATCATCAAAGCTTTGTGAATTGTAAACCCTCTAATCTGAAAAGCGGCAACCCCTGATGGGGCAATCTTCAATACTTTAATTGTATTGAAATCCGTCTGAATCTGTGCATGGAAAATTCGAATCAGTCGATCGTGAACGGTTTTTATCAAAACAGATTTCCCAACACCAGCTCCGCCGCTGACAAATATGGATAAATGTCCGTACTCAAATGAACGGCGCACACCACGTACGATACGATCGCAAATCGCACGTTGTTCCGCATTTAACATGCGTTCCATTGACATATATTCTTGTTCACTAATGGCGACTGAATGGAAAGAATCTGTGGATCGAACAAACTTGTCAAATCCAAGCTCGACACCAATATCGATATCTTCATTTCGAGACGTTTCATTATCGAAATCTTCAACCTCCTCATCTTCGTTACGATCATTTTCTAATGTGCGTATCCATGTGTCTCCGTATATCGAATACTCATTTCTCTTCAACATAATTAATTTCTCGTTTTTTATATAGATTTGCGCAACTTGGCGAGGTTCACAAACTTCTTGACGGAAATGAACAAACAATAGTATTTGTTCACGCATGAAGTTTTCCTTATCGACATCACTGTGGTAGTTTACATAACGGATAATTTTTCTCTTTGATCGCTTGCGATAGAATCTTCTCTTGGTAGACATATCGAGACCTTCTAAACTCTCTTCATTTGCTTCATCATATTCGGAAGAGAAATCGGCGAAACAAACAGACTCTAAAGATATTGGTCGATGTATATATCGATCTAATAGTGCATACGGTTTAAAAATGTCGGTCGATTGTGTCAGAATAACTGAGCAGGAATGAATGAACTAGCACAAAGTTTGGTACAAGTAGGAAACCCTAACTTTGTGTACCCCCTAAGGTGTAACCCACTACAGCCTACACAACATAAACATGCAATGTTTGACACACCCCCATAGGCGCAGTGGGAGACAACCACAGGGTCATGAGACCAGTCAAAGCAAAGCAAAGCAAGCTCAGGGTGGATCTCAAGGATACCACACAAATTCCGAGCACAAGAAAGTGGTCACAAGACCAGTTCACATGCAGGTTGATAATATAACAAGAGATACAGCAATCACAACCTAGCAAGAGTACACATGCAGGTATATATATAGAGATCACAGTACAAGCAGAGTCAAGCAGTAAGCAAGTGAGGTCCAGCAGGCACAAGGCCTAGAAGAGTACAGAAACGCTGATGGTCACAAGGCTGAAGCGCCTTGGTGAACATATCAGCAGTGTTGGCCTGAGTGGCCACGTTGCGGAGATAACTCTAGCAACGGGAGCCTGACTACGGGGAAGGCACGTGCGTGAGAGGTAGCTCTGCGTTCGTTCCTTAGTTGTTTGCTCGTGTGCTTGCACATTCACGGGGAGATTTTGCAAGAGTTCCACTAGCAAAGCATCACAATGGAAGTTTAGAATGATAGCAACAACGTTGGCAACACAAACTACATCAGAGCTAGCTAGGCTGCTGGTCGACCTCCAGCGCAGCATGGTCGACCGCGTTCCAGCGCAGCAATGCTCGCACCGCTCCAGCGCTGCAGAGATGCGTCGCGCCAACGTTGCATGTTCACGGTATGCCAGCGCTGCAGGAAGTCGGCTGCACAGCGCTGCATCTACAGGACAACGGTGCACCTGCTTCGCAGGTGTGCGCAGCTGGTTGGCGTCCAACTCCCCGTCACGTGCCCAGCGCAGACATTCCCGTCCGTGACAGCGCCCATCAGCCACGTCGACCTCGGGATACCACCCCCGAGGTCGCCCTTCGCCAAAACCATCCCCGGCGACCTTCGCAGCTGTCGCCCGGGTATCCCGGTCGACCGGGCAACCCTGCCTGGTCGACCAGCCTTGTCGGGCGCCGACCACACCAAGCCCGGCGTCCCCAGGTCGGCGTCCTAGCGTCCTGGTCGGCGTCCCCTCACCCAGGACGTCGTCCAGGCCCCCCAGTCGGCGTCCAGGCGCCCGGGACGCCGAGCAGACGCCCAGGTCGGCCCAGGACGCCCAGCAGACGCCCAGGTCGGCGTCCAGGCGCCCAGGACGCCGAGCAGACGCCCAGCTCGGCGTCCAGCCTCCCAGGACGCCGTGCAGATGCCCAGGACGCAGCCCATACACTAAGGACGGCGTCCACCTGCTCGGCGCCCATGCAGTGGCCCCCGTGCCCACTGCTGCAGGTCGGCTGCATCTCCCCCGTACACCCGACCACGAGGTCGGCTCCGCCCAAGCGAGGACGGGGCCGAACACAACTCCCGTTGACACTCCCCTGCCGCGTTCACGCTTGGGCCCCCAGCCCACACGGCAGCACAGCTCGGAAGATAGCTCGGCGGCGTGCACCCAACAC